AATCGAAGTGATTTCTGCAATTTTTACGTAAAAGCGAACACAATTTGGTACATTTTCCCGTTTTATTTTTTTCTTTACGATAATTTGAACCGGAGTTATGATTTTTTGAAAATAGGTCAAATTTGACCTTTGACCTATCATAACTCGGTCAAAAATTGAGATATTGATCTGCAGTTTACGCCAAAATTCTTAGTTTTTTATGCTCTTTCGAATGAGGTATCACAAGACAGGGGTTGCTATTTGAAAAAAAAAGTTGGGGAGCCCCTGTCCCTCCCTGAGGGGGGGACCAAAATTTTGACCCCCTCAAAAGATGGTCCCCTTTGAGATAGGAACATTCCCAAAGTTTTATTTCCTTAGCTCAATTCGTTCAAAAGTTAGAGGGGGGGTCGGGGACTTTTCGCTCACCCTGTATGTAGGAGCGACCGTGACAGGACAAGTAGATGCAATACAATGGATGGATGTCACTATGGAAACGCATACAAGGGGTTACAATTTGAAAAAAAAGTTGAAAAAAAAGAGTCCTCCCCTGAGAGTGAGGCCAAAATTTTGACCCCCTCAAAAGATGCTCTCCTTCGAGATAGAAACATGTCCGAAGTTTCTTTTTTCTTCCTTGAACGATTCAAAAGTTATTGTGTGTATGAGTGTGTGTGTGTGAGGATCTGTGTGAGAGGGTGTGTGTGTGTGTGTGTGAGGGTGAGGATGTGTGTGTGGGGGGGGGGGGGGGCTCTTGGAACACCTTGTAGGACAGACTTCATTTTTACTGAGAACCAAGACATAAGGCTTTGACTTTAATTTATAAAAGATCCTACACAGCTTTAAAAGTGCTTTCTATTTCGTCAAGTGTAAACATAAAAAATGAGCCGATTTTTTCAAGATATTTAGTTAATTTAAAATTATCATGATGAAATGAGACATTTGAAATCAAAGAATTAAGACTAATTACTCTAAAATCTGTTAACATTGAGCATTTACAGAAAACTTTCAAAAATAATTGTTTGTGCGTAGTGAGCTGATGTAAAGAAAAAGTTAAGAAAATTTGCTTTTACAATTTGCTCGGTCAAAAAAGACAGATAACTTTAAAAAGTATGTTTAAATAATGAAAATAAAAGGATGGATAGGTACGTAGGTAAGGGAGATGGTTTTACTTTACTTCGAATGGCATTTTCCTAAATGATCGGACAAGAAATTTTTCTAAGTTTAAAACATTGGCTGCATTGAAACACAGAAAGTTTTTCTAGAGTCATTGCATGAACATTCTGAATCAGTTTCTGAGCTCCATTACGTCCCCTATTTCAGAGAGGGCAAATGCACACAGAATCTTCTTAATATTTGAAACCATTTGCGACAAATGCAGAATGGTTGTCTTTGTCCGTTAGTTACCTATGTGGTGGCAATAAGCATTTTAAAAATTTGCTGAAGTACCGGTAAATAAGCTGAAAGAATGAATGGAAAACTGATACAGTGACAAACCTTGAGCAAAAGTCCCAAAATCTGCATGCTCCAACCTTTGAGAAAAAGGGACATTCAGGTTCTGTTGGATGAGTTTCGGAGGAAACAGCAACTCCTTCTGGGAGGGGAGCTGATCCATTAATGTATGCATCCATTTGAGCCAGAAATTCAATCTACAAGGAAAACAAATTTACACTAATTAATGGATAGAGATATTTACATTTCCACATTTAATTGAAAAATAAAACTTTTAGCTACAATGAATATTCAATTTTATTCCCTCTTGTCTTGTTAGATTTTGTGTTCCTCTTTTTAGATCCCAGCAAGACAGCTCAATTAGTGATTCGTTTACTGTGCCTTCATATCAAAGGAGCTACAACACAGGAAGCACTCTATGAGGCCCCAGCTGTTAGGATTCGGCAACACATAGAATCTATAAAATAAAACAGGGCAACATTATCACTTCCAGTAATTCAAGTACTGACATAAAGAAAGTTTTGAAATAAAAAGAAAGCTATGATTGAGAATTAGGACGTATGCTGCAGAGAGAGCATACCTTAATGATGAGCTTCGATGTCAAAACAGGAGCAACGCTTCAACGAGTAACATCAGCCCAGCACACTTTATGTACTTAATCTGCATGTTTTCCAAGCACGGTTGAAGAAATTCCATGCAGTGCCAAAAAACTTTTTGTCTCTATTACTATTCCAGTGTCCTCTCCTAGGTAATTCTACATCTACAAATATCCATGGCCGCATTCAAGCAATTTGCCACTCTAAGCCGCGGCCTTGAGTGACACATTTTCAGGGGCGGCAAAAAATTGAGCACAGAAAATAACAATGATACAGCGCCACCGCACACGTCGTTCCACCGAAGAGGCGGAAAAAACAGCTTAAATTATATGATATTTCTAAACAAGCTGTATAAGTAGGATCCGAAGTATTTTCTTATTTTTTTCTTTTTTTGAAGACTGCTTTGGTTGTTGGAAACCAAGATGCAACTCCCCCCCCCCTTTACAATTTTGAATTTCGGAGGTCGATTTTTTTAATCAACCTTCCTCTATACCGTACAAGGGCAAGTCCTATAGGCCATAAATCACGATGACCTAGGGGCGGTATTCACGTATACCCGGTCATGCATGCTTCAGTATAATTTGTATAATATTTGTATCTGATGAAAACTTGAGGTGAATTTTCAGGGGTATGTGGTGAGAAATTTTTCCTTGCAGCGTTTCGATTTTTTGGTTCACGGCATTAGCGTCCGTATACAACTCCACGCGAGTCCTTGAGCTCTTATGAAAATTAAAGGAACTATATCCTACCGATACCCAGAGGTGGGGCTGTTCTAGCGGTAGTCGGTAAGCTACCGAAACAGTTCTGTCAAGAAAAAGTCACGATAAGAGCGCTCTTACCGATAGCGATCTGAGTTTTAGGAGCTGACGAAAATAAGCAGTTGCCACTTGTACATCTATTTTACGCGCTGCCGCGCGAGGCAGTCTGACAAATCGACACACGGGGCAATAATGCATTGAGTGCGAGCTCTCGAAAATCCGATAAGGCGGGCTGTTAACGATATCATCGCCACTGTCGGCACTGCCACCAGTTTCGGTAAGAGACGATACCGATAGCCTCCCGGTAAGAATCGTTTGAACACCCCTAGCCAGAGGCGATTTTCCGAACTATAAAAGGAGATGAAATATAAAAAGATTAATAATGTATGTTCAGAATTACTGAGGAAGTCAATTATGATAATAATACTCGTCGGGTGCAAGACTGCCAGCGCTACCTATTAGTTGAGATTAAAACAACACAGTCCCACTTGGTGAGGGCATGACCAAGCTCCGAACATCAATGCTCCGCAGCGTCTAAGACCTACCGTTGGCTATCAAACGGCCGCTGAGCCTTGCGGCAATATAGAATGTCGACAGTACGAAGTTAAGGGACACGGCCCAACTTCGGGGTGCACGACGGCAGTAGCCAGTTGCCTTGGCCCCTTGGGGCACCTCGTCAGTCACCCCGCCCTTACTTACTTACTTTACAGTGATAATAATACTTCAAAATAAAAATAAAGACATTTTTATAGAATGGTTCTTGAAGAATAATACATATGCTCTGAACGGGAACCGTCAAAACCAAAACCAAAAACAAATAAATAAATAATAAAAAATAAAGTATGGCTTTCCCTTGGGGGGGGGGGGGGTTAGACGTCCCTCAACTGAATAAATAAAATAATAAAAAAAAAAAAAAATAGAGAGTCAATCAGCGCGAACTGTTAAGCGCGTCTGCGACGTGCCCAGTCCGTGCCGTGAGCCAAGTTGAGAGTCAGCGCGAACTTTTCAGCGCACCTAAAAGATGTGCCAAGTTCGTGCCGGTAGCTGCTCAATTGACTCAGTGGAGTCAGGAGTCAGGGTAAGTGATGTAACACGGGGTAATGTTTCACACTTTAGATTTATTTGGCGAAGTGACGTACATCAGGTGTACCCACTCTGCAGCAAATAAATAGGATTACTGGACAGGCCAGGAGCCTCGAATTCAAGTGAAGCGCAGGGGGCTCTGAAAACGGGACTGAATTGCAGCGGCAAGAGCGGCCGCTGGGAAGACGGGGTCCTCCACTCGGCGAAGGATGCGCGCGCATCTGGGGTGCTGGAGTGGGGATGATACAACGAGGGGTGGCCCTGGCCAAGGAGCCGTCAGGAGACGGAGGGCGAGGGGGGTCTACCTAGGAATAAGTCAAATAGCACCGCAGAGTGGTGAACATATAAAAATGAAACTAAATGAATATCTTATGATTAATGAATAAAATTGTAAATGTCTGAAAGTAGATAAAAACTTAAAGTAACATAAGTAGGTCGATTGAAACCCAACATGCTCAGAATTGTCGAGGGAGTCAAAAATAATGATACTTTATTATAAGAAAGAAAACATTTGTATAAAGAGTACAAGAAAGTAGAGATAAAGAAACGTAAGAGAAGGACGAAAGAAAAAGGAGAAAAAAAATAAATAAACCTAGCTCAAGTAGACAAAACACGACGGACAATATCGCAAAGTTGAGCAAAAACTGGCCTAAACTGGTCGGAAAACTGTAAATGATCAGAGGAGAAAGTGGCAAAGAGGCGGAAGGAAAACGGCAAAAAGCCGGAAGAGAAAGTGGGGATGGAGTAGGAGTTCTGTTTGAGAAGGAGTAGCCTGTAGCAGGCGCAGAATGTGCGGGGAAGGGTGATGAAGTGGATGAGGTAGCGAACACGCCCAGCGTTCGGTATCTATTACTCATTACAGCTTACCATTTTACATTATAAAGAATGATTTCTGTTAAAATTGAAGAGTCATACGTTGTAGCTCATGCTTAGCTCATGCTAGTCATACCTCATGCTTCTCGTTATTAACACTAAAAGAGATAAGAAAGGTAATCTGTGAAGCTCAAAAACTTAATCCCAGAAAGAAATTGGGATAAGAAAAATGACCCTAATGCGACCAATCACAAATAATCTCTCTCAGCACATGCAGATCTCCCTGTCCCACCGTGATATATTTTTCTCAAACTTACAGATTACATGTATCCCATAAGAGAATCTGAGATCAAGCTGCTGTTGTTAGACTTTCAAAGCTCGTTTTTGGCTTTGAACATTCTCGACATATGCTACTTGAACTTTAAGTCTTTGAATTCAGTATAAATGTTATTATGATAATCACTGATTTCAGAGCCAGATTTTAGACGTGGTGTTATTTCGAAACTAATGCTGAAGTATCACCTCAAGCTATGAAAGACACTAGCCAAAAAAAATTATATCCTTGGTGGAGCTAACCGGGTCGATAAGTCAATAACAGATCATTTACATAAGATGAAAAAACAACAAAAAACTGGATAGTTGAAGAAAAGCTTTGATGCAGGAACTTATTACACTTAAAATATTGTTTAGTTTAAAATTATATTAACAATTCTTTTAGAAAAGCTATTAAATACACATACATGAGGAAAATGTGCAAAATTGAGAAGGATAAGCTCATTTGAGACTACCACCACCAAATGTAAGAGTAAAAAGTTGAGAAAAAATCCTTATTTCTAGCTAGTCAAACCCCTAAATGAACGGTTAATATAAGAGGTGAAACATGGTCTTAAAGTTTGGTGTATGAGAAGGTTACACTTCTTAAGACATAGCGATTTGCTATATATACTGGGTGTTCCAGAGCATCCGTCTACTATCTTTTTCTCGGAAACAGCCGATGATTGAACTTGGGAACGACAACTCTTACGACAACCCCAAATAATCAAATCAAAATATTTTCAACTACCCAAAACCCCATTGGGGAGAGGGGGGGTTTAAGGGGCGGTGCCCCCCGTTTGTCGCAATTTTCAAATAGGAAGGGTATATTTTGACCTCGGATTTAAATTCTGAGGCTGAAAATAAAAACTTTTTGATCATGCTCTTTTTCCCTAACCTCAAATTTTTTGGAGTTACGGGCCATTTTCGACCATTTATTGGACAAATTTCAATTAGACACTGTAGGTGTCTGAATTATCCAAATTCTAAAATCTCAAAGTCCCCTAAAAGAAGAGGTGGTCAAACCTTTTTATTGATGTGCCAAATTACTTCTGTTCATCCAAAATTATGTGGGTATCGACCCCTCGATAATTTTTGGGCTTTGGAGGGCCAAATGTCGAAAACATCAAAGAGCAAGGATATGTTTTGGCTTCAGATGTGGATTCTACGCAAAAATTTACGTAGACTTGTTAGGGCGTATAGCCTTTGTGCTCCAAAATACTTTAAAACCCCATTTCCCCAAGAGATGCCATGTATTTATGGAGGAAAAAGGGGGCAAAAAAAATTTAGGACAAAAAGGTCACACGCTACATCAATTCTACGTAAGTTTTCGCGTAAAATCCAAATCTTCAGTGAAAACATGCCCTTGCTCTTAGAAATTTTCGACTTTTGGACCTTCAAAGTCCAAAATTTTCATGGGTCAAGGACGAAAATCTTACCCAACACAAACAAACCACTGTCACGAGCGATCTAATATTGATAATTTCATGCATTTTGGTCTGTAAACTCACAATCAGATGTCTCATCACCTGCCTTATCGGTGATGAAGATATCTTCACTTATCGGCAGTCTTAGTCCCAGTCTTTATTGAACCGCCCTCGTATCAAGAGAATGAGCGGTATTACCGTATCAATAGGAATATGGATTTAAAGATAAGACAGACTGTAGGTAAAATGTCACAAAATAACATATTCTATCCGATGGAGTTGTTTTTTAAAGTAAGATATTTGAAAATATGCCAATTTTTAAAGCTTAAATATGCAAACTTTGCAACACTGTATCTGGAAAACCAGACGTATACTCAAGGTAAGATTTGTACTGGAGGCTTGCCTCATCATAAGGTTTCATTAAAGCCGCATACGAATATAATCCCCGAGTTTCAAAAAAGGGGCCACTTTTTGGGAGGCTCTTTTGAATAAAATTGAACGAATAGATTTTGAGATATGGCTGTCCACAGATTTGGGGAACGCCTAACGGACGGACACACGTTTTTCAAATTTGGTTTTTTTTTCTCCAGGCACCTTCAGACGACTAGAAATCAATTTTTTTTTTTTTTTTTTTTTTTTTGAAAGGGGGATGACAATACTTCCTCTACCCGCAAGGAGAAGTAGAAAGTAAAAAGGTATTGCCCTCTTCTCTCAGGAAAATTTAAGATTTTGAAAATCGGATAATTTAGACGCCTACAGTGTCAATTTGAAATTCGCCCAATAAATGACCGAAAATGGCCCGTAACTCCAAAAAATGTCGGGTTAGGGAAAAAGAGCATGGATCAGGAAGTTCTTATTTTGAGCCATAGAATTTAAATCCAAAGTCAAAATACCCTCTCTATTAACCCACCCCCCATGGGGTTTTGGGGGGCTGAAAATAGTTTCATTTAAGTAATTTTTTGGGGTTGATTTACCCGTATGAGTTGTCCTTCCAAAGTTCAATTCTCGGCCGTTTCCGAGAAAAAGATAGTGGACGGGTGCTCTACACACCCGGTACTTAGATAAATAATGAGGAGTAAATGATAGTACATTACCTGTCTCTGCTTCTTTTCTTCTTCTTCTTTTTCTTTCCTCTCTTTATCTCTTAGTATTTTTTCCTGTTCTTTTTCCCATTCCTTGCGAATTCTGGCCTAAATAAACATCATGTTGGTCATATTATTATACAATAAAGATTTGGAAACTCTTTAAGTTTTGGAGGGTATTCTATGGAGGGATGAGAAAAGTTCTTCCTCCTATGGAAAGGCCACTTTACTAGTGTACCTTTCGGAGAAAATACACTATTGCATTCTCCAATGATGTCGGACCCGGACCTGAGACCATGTGAAGAGCATCGATCACGGGTCGTCGATAACGAAAACATATATATGCTATTCAAATTTATGTGTGTATATATACATAATAGCCGTGATTAGCTGTCACGCCCAGCCGAGGAGTGCCCCTGGACCCCCGGTTCCTCGCTTCGCGATGAACTTGCGACTCGCTCTGCGAGCCGCCCCTCATAGTTATTAACTTTAATCGTAATAATAATAATGAGAAGACTCCGTCTTCGCCACTTTGGCAACTGCCGCCATCTTGGCTTATGGAATTTTGAAAATCTGACCAAAAATTCGAGTTTCCCGTAGTAAAATACAACATGACACCAATTTTCACAACAATTCGTCGAAAAATACCCCCTGATACCTGAAACTTCATCTACAGGGTGTTCCGAAAGTCCCGCTTCCTCCTCCCTCTAACTTTTGAACGGTCAGGGATAGAAACATGAAACTTTGGGAATGTTTCTATCGCAAAGAGGACCATCTTTAAAGGGGGTAAAAATTGTGCCCCTCCCTCGGGGGGGGGGGGGGGGGAGGAATTTTTTTTCAAATGGTAACCTCTAGGGATGTGTACCACAATCGACCTCCAATTCCTTTGGTGTATTTTCCGAGGAAAAATACACTACCTATGGCATTCTCTCATGATGTTGGACCCAGATCTGAGACTTTGTGAAGAGCACCGATCGCGTGTCATATATGTATCAGGAGTATATATGCTATTCAAATGCATGTGTATGTATACACGGTGTCCCAGAAGTCCGAACCCCCCTCCCCCACCCTGGTAACTTTTGAACGGTTAGAGAAAGAAAAACGGAACTTTGGGAATGTTTCTACTTCAAAGGGGACCATCTTCTAGGGGGTCAAAATTTTTGTTTGGGGGGGGGACCACAACTTTTTTTTCAAATGGTAACCCCTATCTTGTGATACATCATTGGAAAGAACATTAAATAAAGAATTTTGGCGCAAACCACAGATGAATATCTTCATTTTTGACCAAGCTATGATAGGTCAAAGGTCAAATCCGACCTATTTTCAAAAAATCATAACTCCCGTTCAAATTATCATAAAGAAAAAAATTGGCCTCCGGCAAATTTATGCGCGGCGCAAGCGCACAGTGTGTCAAAACCCCAATCTAGCTGCTCAAAACCCCCCTTATTTCAAGTCAACAAATGGTGTTATTTATGGTCAGAGTGGGTCCACAGGCACCCACTGGTTACGTATCTATCATGGTTATCACAAAAATACATTTTTTGGTCGCTAAAATGATAGGGATTGCAGCCGGTAAACGTCCAGCCTCAATCTCGTCATCAGGAGTGGTGCCACTGTATTGCTTTTTTTTAGAGTACTTCGTGGCGAAAAAGGGTCATTTCTGGATGAAACGAGATGCCAAAGGCCAGTGAAAGGAAATATGACCGTTGATTTCTCCAAAATCATTATTTAAGTATTATAATTGCTCATTGAAAACAGTGCCCAAGACCGTTTACTTTTCCTGGCTTTAATAGAGCCGCAAAAGCGCGGAACTACACGGAACACCATGAAACTTATATGAGAGTGTTCAGAAAACTATGTAGATTTGAAATGTCTCTAGTTTTACTGCGACCTTCCGCGACCTTGAGAGTAAGAGCACATTTTGTTCGGCGATTCCTAGTGAAAAAGCGTGCGGGCGGCGTTATGCGATCTCCCCCGACAGGCTGTCACAGGTGAATTGAGACGGAGGCAGCATCTCACCACGCGCGCTCGGTCCCCTGATTTGAGTGAGCCTTATCATGAGGCTTTTCACCGGGGCAAATTAGATCGTGTGGTGGCTCAGTTGATTGCATCTTTCATTATTACCTGCAAGACCGGGGTTCAAATCCCGAACAGACCAATTATTTAAAATTTTATTTTCTTTCATTACGATTTTCCCATTATCTATACTGTCATGGAGGGGGGGGGTCCTCAAATACAAAGTTTCATCGTAATTTTAACAAGTTTCTTGTATGATTTGAAACAGACTTTCTTATTTATTTCTAATGAGAAAAGGTTTCGGACATGATTTATGAAACGTAGGAAAATGAAAAGGAGGAGGGGGGGGGGGGGTCGCCGAAATTTTCCTTTACAGGCAAACATTTTGAAAATATTATCTTTGACTTGTCACTTAGAGTTGCCGAAACGTATCATTTTAATAATATGGAATTCATATTTCTTTGGATGGCCAAATGAGAAATTCGCCATTTTGAAGTGGAATGGACAAGCCCAAGACATCCTCCAGGACTTATTTTGGATCGGAAAACACAATTTGACTAATTTTTGGGGTTCATTAGGTCACATAAGGCGCCTAAAATTTAGTTGAAATTTTACGATTTTTACATGAGTTGAACCGAATTTTTAGATGACCGCCATTTTGAAAATTTTGATGACTAAGTTTTGAAATTTTAGGTGAACCTTCTTCAAGCTTACACTAATGCTTGTGCGAAATTTGGTGGTTATCCGATCAAATTTAGAGACGTGAAGAGGTTTTGAGCAGCTAGATTGGGGTTTTGACACACTGTGAAGCGCCGCGTACCGGCGCTTCGCGCCGGCATGTGGGGGGGGGGGGNGGGGGGGGGGGGGGGCTTCGTCCCCCCATCATAGTGCGAAGATCGCACAAGACTTTCTCGCTTTTGCCGCCGCTCCGCGCCGGCATATACACTTTTACTGAAATATTAAGGAAAATACTGCCAATTTCACAAAATCATAAAGTTTGATTGGAATTTTGATCGCAGGATAATAATTATGAAATTTTTATTCAAACCACTGCACTTTATTGTAAATGTCTTCGAGGTATGTGATGAATTCATACATTCGGACTCGACTTGTCGATCTTATGAGGCATCTTCAATTAAATATGTAATTGATTAATGATGCCTCTTATTAAAGACGGCGATCCGTAAAAATCTTAGCTTTTCTACGATTCATAAGGATCCATAAGATTCATTGGCATCATCCTTCAGATACGATTATAAATTATAATCTTTCCTAAAGCACGGGCAAAAGCCATCAAAAATCTACTTTAATGGGTAGAATGACTATTCGATGTTTAAATAGTCTTAAAACTCAACGGTTTTCGCTTAGCATCGCCCAAATTTTAAAGAGCCATGCACAAAGTGGCCCATTTTTGGGCCCCCGAAATTGGGGTCGAAGTGAGGTTTTTTTTCATCTTTAGGGTGACCCTTTACACATACTAAAATTTCAGATTGAGTATACGCACCGTTTTCGAGTTATGGGGGGGCAAAGTCCCCGATTTTCACCCATTTTTGCAGGCGTTTTAATGTCGAACTCTGGCTGTTAGGAAGTACCAGATCTAGATATTGAAGCGCGGTTTGCGGTGATTTGTTCAGCTATTCCTGTAGTATTTTTCCACATCTTTCACAAAGCCCCAAATGGTTTTTCGGGGGCGGGGAGGGGGGCTTTATTCATACTATCATGACCGTTAGCGCATCTTACTGACTTTACTTTGTTCTCTTCGCTCCACGCCGCGGTCACGATGGTATTTTCTGTTGGGGATTTTTCTTCTTCTTCACATTTTACCAATTTTCATGTCCTCCCCCTCTTTTCCCCTTTTTCCCCCTCCCCCGCAATCCAAACACTTCCTCTGAAGTGCTTTTTCCTGTGAGGCAGATGACGGGGTCATATGTGGGGGATTATTTTTCTTTCTTCACGATTGATAAACTTTGACCCAACTTACTTCGACCTTAAAAGGCCCTCCTTACCCCTGTATTATCCCCCCCCCCTGCCCGGCTCCACTTTACTTGAAGTATTTTGCTTCCTCCGCAGCAGAAATGACAAAGTTTCTGGCAAATAATGTTTCACTTATGTTTAGGTACTGAAATACTGAATACAGGGGAACCACCCCCTACTCTTCTCCATTATTCCCCCTCTTCTTCCTCTTCCCCTTCCCCTCTTGTTTGTCCCTCTTTTGCCTCGTTCTCTTTACTTTTCACTTTTCTTCTACTTTTTACTACTTTTTTGTAGGAGTAATATGGTCACGCGAAGAGAAAGTGGAAGAGAATGTCCCTAGGAAAGAATAAGTCAAACACAGCAGTGGAAAGAGAAACGTGAAAAATATGAATAAGAAACAATTCTTCACAGGAAAAATCGTCATTTCTGCTGCGGAGGGAGCAAAATACTTCAAGTAAAGTGGAGCCGGGCAGGGGGGGGGGGATAATACAGGGGTAAGGAGGGCCTTTTAAGGTCGAAGTAAGTTGGGTCAAAGTTTATCAATCGTGAAGAAAGAAAAATAATCCCCCACATATGACCCCGTCATCTGCCTCACAGGAAAAAGCACTTCAGAGGAAGTGTTTGGATTGCGGGGGAGGGGGAAAAAAGGGGAAAAGAGGGGGAGGACATGAAAATTGGTAAAATGTGAAGAAGAAGAAAAATCCCCAACAGAAAATACCATCGTGACCGCGGCGTGGAGCGAAGAGAACAAAGTAAAGTCAGTAAGATGCGCTAACGGTCATGATAGTATGAATAAAGCCCCCCTCCCCGCCCCCGAAAAACCATTTGGGGCTTTGTGAAAGATGTGGAAAAATACTACAGGAATAGCTGAACAAATCACCGCAAACCGCGCTTCAATATCTAGATCTGGTACTTCCTAACAGCCAGAGTTCGACATTAAAACGCCTGCAAAAATGGGTGAAAATCGGGGACTTTGCCCCCCCATAACTCGAAAACGGTGCGTATACTCAATCTGAAATTTTAGTATGTGTAAAGGGTCACCCTAAGGATGAAAAAAAACCTCACTTCGACCCCAATTTCGAGGTGCCAAAAATGGGCCGTTTTTGGCCCTTTTTGTG